CAGGCGTTGGAGAAGTACAACATAGAAAAGGATATTGCGGCCCACATCAAGAAGGTGAGGACCTGGCACCTCACGGTTCCCTTTTTCCCCCCTTTCCGCTCTCCCTGGGCAGTGGGCAGTTTTCCCTTGGTACTCAGGGCGGCGCGGTATAGATAGTTCTAGAAAGGACGCAGATGGATTCTGCGTTCCTCTTGGGAAGACCAGACCCTCAACGCCCGAAGTTTTTTTTTCTTTTTTTTTTTTTTTTTAAACCCCAGATCCTTGGGGGAAAGCGCCACCTAGCAACGGTTTCCAAGATCAGGGAGCAGCGTGCGGTTCCCCCTACTGATTCCTGCGCCGAGGATGTAGCTGGGTGTTGGGGGGGGGGGTGCGCTGCGTGGGTGTTTCCAGCCGGGCTAGGAAGAGATTTTGCCAGCCTTCCAGCCGGGAGTTAGTCGGCAGTTCAGGGAAAAGTGGGTGGCAGTGGTGGTTGGGGGCTTGGGGTGGAGGCTTGGTAAATGGCAGTTTGTAGAAAGCTGGCAAGACTGCCAACTTCTCAAGCTGTGTTTGCTGGAAGGAAAGGAAAGTGGAAGCCGAAGCCGTGGGAGGGTTCCAGTGGAGAATGGGAAGATGAAAGACTTGACATGGATCAGAAATGAATACCTTTTTTTGACAGACGAAGCAGCGTGTGCATCAGGATTGTAATAGAGACATTATGCTTAATAGATGAGGCTTTCATACTTCGTGCAGGATGAGAAATGAGGAGCTTAAAGAATTTTACATCATCTTTGGTCCTGGTTTGACCCACTAGTGAAGAAATTAATGTTTCTAGTTGTAGTGCCCATTGGGATAGGGGAAGCAGGGAGCAAATGCTCCCTAACTTGCTAATCTTTAAGACTAGGTAGTAGATGTGAAGAGGAGAGCAGTTTTAAAGGATAGTCTGGCCAAATGCTTAGCTAGCTGTCAGATTCTGTTACCAGCATTTTTTTTTTTCCCAGTATAGCTTGATTTAGATAATAATCGAGGCTTTGTCCTTTAGTGTTTCTACAAGTGACATAAAGGTCTTGGTGAGGGGGTAATTTTTTTTCTGTCTTCCTGGATTTGGGGGTGCGTGGTAGGATAGTTATCAGGAAGAACCTGATAAACTACAAGCGCTGATGTCATCTGTCTCCATTGAATATATGAAGTCAGAGGTGCATTGGGCATGGTGGTTCACACCTTTAATCCCAACAGAGGCAGGCAGATCTCTGACTTAAAGGCTAAACTGATCTACATATAGAATTCCAGGGCTGCGTATAGAGACCCCCATCTCTCCAAGAAGTCAGATATAATCACTGAAACAAATATTTTGAAAATAACGCTGCCTTTGATCTCCTCAGCTCCCATACTCTGACTGCAAGCATGTTTGTACTAGGTAGGTGACTTAGAGTCAGGGAGCATTCTTTATCTTATTAAGAATTTGCTGGGGTTGGGTATAGCTTAGCACACTCAAGGTCCTGGATTCAGTTCCAAATGTGGAAACAGTTGAAGATGCCAGCCAGTGTTTGTCCTTTGGTCCTACAGGCTTTGGCTTTTCTAGAAAATGAATTCTCCGGTGTAACACTAAAATTCTGTTGTGTTCTTTCCCAGGAGTTTGACAAGAAGTACAACCCCACCTGGCACTGCATTGTGGGGCGGAACTTCGGTAGTTATGTGACACATGAGACCAAACACTTCATCTACTTCTACCTGGGTCAGGTGGCCATTCTTCTGTTCAAATCTGGTTAAAAGCATGGACTGTGCCAAACACCCAGTGATCCATCCAAAAACAAGGACTGCATCCTAAATTCCAAATACCAGAGACTGACTCTTCAGCCTTGCTAAGGGAACACCTCGTTTGAATCTGTTGTGTTTTGTACAGGGCATCATCCTCTGTACAAGTTTGTGGTTATAAAATAATTAGTAAAACAGCTTACATTTGTATTTATTTTCTAGTCCATACTTCTGTACCCCGTTTTTTTCTCCCTTAGGCCATTCCTTTAAAATAAATCTGTTGGAGATGTGTATGTGTGTTAGTTTGTTCAAGTAGGGTAGGGCTGAAGCAGCTTACCAGTTGATAGATCACCAGGACTTAGGGTTGTGGACTCCCTGTTCTGTGGGACTAGACATCCTAGTGCTTTTAAGATAGGGTGCTTGGCTGGCCACACTGGTTTCTTCAGATATTTGGGCTATTAGCCATAGGTCTGAGGCCACCCCAGCTCTCAGGAGGCCAGGCGGACCTGGGTTAGAGTGAGACAGTGTCTCAGGGCTTAGCTCCTAGGCTGTGTGCTTTGACTGGCTGTCCTCAAGTCAATTAGTTAATGAGTTTTCATGTAAGGACCTCATTAAAGCTGTGGGTCTAGTCACCAAAAGCTTACTGTGGTTAATTTCAAAGAAAAGCATGTATAGGAGGCCCCCTACAGGCTCAGAACCAACCCCCACTTAACCTTGGGGAAGTACAAGAGTCCCACCAGGGTTCCATCTCCATTTTCACAAGATAAAGCCTCTGGCTTGGACGTAATTGAGATTTTTAAGCAGCCAAAAAGTTGTTTCACAGAATAAAATGGCAGATTGACGTAGATGCTCCTTATGGATAGCATCAGATCAGTTACAGCTTTTGACATTGTTTTTTCTACACCTGAACTTGTTTAGACATTGTGTTTTGTTGGGCACGAATTCCAAAGAGGGGCGTGAAACATCTTTACTGTTTGTGTGGAGGTCAGGAGAACTAGGCAGTACCATATAGGATCTGTCCGATGCCTGTATGATTTTTGTGTGTCGTATGTAGCACACTGGCCTCAAACTCACTATGTAGCTGAGGATAACCACCAACTAATCTGCCTTGTCCATTTGCCAAGTCCTGGGGTTGCAGATGTGCAACACTCCTCCTGGTTGCTTTAGTTTTTATGACAGCTGACATGTGTTCCTACTATCTAGAGAAAAATGGGGTATTTTGGAGCAGGAGACTACGGTCAGGGTAATTCAGATTTGTACTTTTGGAACAGGTAAAGATGTTTCCCTCTTTATGACATGTTTTTATTTGAATCCTGATGGGAATTTGGCCATCAAAGCCAGATGATGTCTCCAGCAAGTCCCTAGAGTTGATGGAAGACACCGTGGCTGGACACCGAGAGTTCTGATCTAATTTGGTTTGACCTGTGTTTCCTGTCAAAAGGGCTGGTGGCTTTTGACTTTCATTTTCAGGTTCAGATGAGGAAACATGTTGCTATAGAAATAAAATCAGTTGGATGGTTTATGGAGTATCTCTCAGTGCCTGTTCCTTCCTGTTAATTTAAAAGCCAGTAGGCTCCAGCTGACTGAAAAAAATGTATTTTTTAAGGTCTAGCATTTTCTTGGATACTCTAAATGCTGTTGGAGACATCTGTAGTCTGTCTGGAAGCTGTCTAGTGACAAGTGAGGTCTTGTAAGATCTAGAAATGCCCCCTAGTGTGCTGGACCTTTCAGATAGCCCTGACTATGTTGTCATGTTTTTGCTTTTGGAGACAGGGTTTCTCTGTGCATCCTTGGCTGTCCTGTAGACCAGACCAGGTGGCCTTGAACCTACCTCTGCCTCCTGAGTATTGGATTACAAGTGTACACTGGCATACCTGACTGGTTTCTGCAGTTTCTTAGCAAGGCTTCTTAATACTAAGCATCATGTTCAAAATACACATGAATCGTCTTAGCACCACACTGGACTGTACAGGACACACTGCCTAAACCCATTCTGGAATACCTGGGTGTGGGCGGGTGCTATAAATATAACATGTTGTTTTTTAAATTTTTTGAGTAAGTGCAAGCTCAGTACACAGCCCTACCTGTGTACATAGTGAGTTTGAGGCCAGTGTGTGCTACCTACGACACACAAACCTGGAACTTGCAGGTTTGGCTGTCATCACCTTGAGGCAGTCCTGCCACCTGCATGCTGAGACTGCAGTTTTGTGCCATCATTCAAGGCTCATAAATACATGTTTCTTACATTTACATTTATTTTACTGTTTATGTGTATCACTGCTTGCATGTATGTATGTGCACAGAGGTCGAAAGAGGGCACTGGGTTCCCTAGCATGAGTTACAGATAATTGTGAACCACCATGTGGGTGCTGGGAACCAAACTTGGGTTGGCAAGAGCAGGGAGTAAGTGCTCTTACCCACTGAGTCTTGAACCCTGTCCCTTTCTTTTCTTTGCTATAAACATGTACAAATGTATTCTGAAGAACTCTGTTTACCAAGGCTTAGCAGTGGCTTTCTTGATGATGGACACTGAGGATGGTGTCTTGGTGATGAGGACTGATAGAAGGACACTGATGTGTACTGCATTTGTACCTCCTCCAAGAAAGAGTAGCAAGTACCACCCAAATTGTAAGCTTTACTGCTTCACACAGTTCTACTTTTTCGTTTGCTTCTGCTGATGAGAAACAAACCCAGGGCCTCACTAGGCTAAGCATATGCTCTGCCACTGAGCTGCACCCTCAGTCCCCGGTTCTAATGTGCTTACCTCTCAGCACCTCACCAGCCCAAGGTCCTAATTGTCAGCGTTCTGACTTGGACTTGGGCTTTTGGCCCTAGATTCAATTCTAGTCTGAATGAAGGGCTGGTTCAAACCATCCTTGGTTTCCAGAGATCCATTATCTGGATAGAGACGCTACCAGGAAGCTTCAGAACTGTGTGAGTGCTGGTTTTATCTGACTCCATACTGCACAGCCAAGTGTTAGCAGGAGTTCAGCAAAACCAGGCCAGACACTTGGGGGAAAAGAAGGCCTTGGCAGCCTGTGCAGCTACTAATGAGAGCTGCAAAAGATGACAGGGGTTTGTGTCTTCCTTTTTGAGACTGGTCAATGCAGAATCCAAGGTGTTATAGCCCTAACAGGAGGTAGACACTCAGCTACTGTCTCGTCAGGGAGATTCTCTTCCAGTTCCAGGCCTCAGCAGAATGACTGGCTCATGCTGCACAACAGAAGGGAGCTAGAGTTTGAAGCCAGAATGAATGGCCACGATCCCTGTGGTCAGGCTTTCATAAGTCACCTTCTGAAAGCCTGCATCTTCAATCATCTCCTTGAACTCTTCCTAAAACACAAGAAAAGGCACATGGGATGATTGGATTTCAACCTCAGGGCTTTTGCTCTTAGTTACAAAAGCTCTGTACCTGATTAGGGAACTTCCGAATACTTTCCACAAGGTATTGATAGGACTTCCAGTCTCCTGCGATGACCTCTCCAATGACAGGGATGACCTGGAAACTGTACAGATCATAAAGCCTAAAACAAACAAACAAAAACAAATAGTGACAAAGGCAAAGATTAAGATTAGAGTGGACTCTGGGCATACTCCCTGGCCTCTCCACCCATAACGTAATGGAAAATGTGGGGCTAGGACGTACTCCCTGGCGCCTCTAACCACAACGTAAAGAAAAGTGGCAGCTAAGAGAGATGGCTTAGTAGTTAAGAATGCTTACTGTAGCCTGGCATGGTAGTGTACACCTTTAACCTCAGCACATGAGAGGCAGAGGCAAGCAGATCTCTGAGTTTGAGGCGAGCCTGGTCTACATAGAGCATTCCAGGAGAGACAGGGCTATACAGTGAGACCCTGTCTTAAAAACAACAAAACAACAAAAACAAAACAAAACAAAAAAAATGAAATCTTTAAGAAAATGTGCTAGGATCCATCCCTTAACGTAAATGAGATGGTGTAAGCCAGGAGTCTCTGACTCACGTGTCTATAGAGGTCAAGCAAGTGCCTGAAACAAGGCAAGCAGGCCAAGAGCAAGGTCAGAGGCTCACGGCGAATGACAGCTGCATGAAACCAGAGCAGAGGCAGTTGACTCTGCCCCTGATGCCTGAATGAAGGATCCTGCTCTACCCAGGTTGTGACACAATCCAGGTTCCTCTGTAAAATGTCCTGATTTTAAGGTTTTGGCTAGCTGGTGTGTCTGAGATACAGCCTCACTTTGTAGACCAGCCTGGCCTGGAACTCACTATATAGACCAAGAAAGTATTAAATTTGAGGTGATCCTCCTGCCTCAGCCTTTTGAGTGCTGGGATTATAGCTGTGAGTCACCCACCACATCTGCCTATTACATTTCTTAAAATAACTTATGAGTTGTTAAAATAAACCATGTGGGCTCACATGGCCTCTGGGTGTTGGCTGAGGCTCTTCTGGCACAAGTATTTCCACTAAGGACTTGCTAACCTCTTCAAGTATCCCTGTCCTTTGGTGCCTCTGAACCTACAAAGTCAGATGCCTGTAGCTTAGTGGCTATTTTCTATCTATTTGGGGTGGGGAACCTTTTGCTAGACAAGTGTATAAAGCCCTGTTACCAATGCTGACCTGGATATGAGGGGATCATTCACTTGGCTAAATTCCAGACAGAGAAACCGTCCTCCTGGCTTTAGGACCCGATGTGCTTCCTGGAGTGCCTGAGAGAAAGAGCAAGAAGAAAAAACTCAGCAGACCTCTCCGAAATTCCAAAGGTCAGAGGCTGGTTTATTTAGTGTCTGTGTGCACTGTAAACATTCCCCATTATATCCTCAGGAGTTAGAATGTAGAGATTACCCCATGTTACAGGCATCTGCTGCCCACGACTAGAGAATGGTGCTGATACGGGCAGATGGGCACAGCTCCAGGAAGAAAAAGCCACAGTGGGTAACCTCTTCCATATAATGATTTTGATTAAGAACATTTATTTTCAGTCAGGCAGTGGTGGCGCACGCCTTTAATCCCAGCACTCGGGAGGCAGGGGCAGGCAGATCTCTGTGAGTTCGAGACCAGCCTGGTCTACAAGAGCTAGTTCCAGGACAGCCTCCAAAGCCACAGAGAAACCCTGTCTTGAGAAAAACAAAAACAAAAACAAAAACAAAAAAAACCCCAAAACATTTATTTTCTGTGTATGGGTATTGTGCCTGCATGTGTATCTGTGAATCATTTGTGTGCCTGGTACCTGCAGAGGCCAGAAGAGGGCATCATAGCCCCTGAAACTAAAGCTAGAGACAGGTGTGAGCTGCCACATGGATGCTGGGAATGGAACCTGGATTCTCTGAAGAGCAGCCATTGAGCCATCTCTCCAGACCCCAATGTAACAATTTTAATTAAAGGACTCTATTTGACAGAAAATAACATGTATGTAAGTAATTCACTGTATGTGACGCATCATCTTTAACCATGGAGAGCCTGGTTAACATCATGGGAAATCTGCACAAACAGAATCAATTCAGCTATTGTCAAAGGACAAACTAAGAGTTTTATGTGATAATATGGAGTAAAATCACCAAATAAGCCCGACTAGTAGCCCAGGCCTGTCACCCTAGCTGCTTAGGAGACTGCACAGAAGACTGTAAGTTCAAGACCAGCCTGGGCTACAGGGTGAGTTTAAGGCCAGCTTAACTTAATGAGATTATGAATGAGCACGTGTGAAAGCCGTGAATTCAATCTTAAGCAACACAGACAAACAAAATCACTGGGGTGTGCGTGTGTGTGCTGGAGTGCATGTGTACACGTGCATATGTGTTTCTTTAGAATGCTAGAGAGTGAACTCAGGGCCTTGCACATACTAGACAAATTCTCTGTCACTTGCTGCAACGACAACACACATCTGGCCTTTTCCCTGGAACTTGCTCTATAGACCAGGCTGGCCTTGAACTTGAGAGATCCAGCTGCTTCCGCCTCTTCCAGGATTAGTGGTGTGCACCAATGCCAGCTCCTCCTGCTTGTGTAGCAAGCACTTCACTGGGTGAGCAATTTCCCTAGTCCCTGCTAAGCTCTGGGGTTACAGGCATATGCCACCACACCTGATTGTAACAGACACACTGAAAAGGTACAAAACATTTTTTTGTTTTGTTTTGGTTTTTCAAGACAGGGTTTCTCTGTGTAGCTTTGGAGCCTGTCCTGGCACTCGCTCTGTAGACTAGGCTGGCCTCGAACTCACAGAGATCCACCTGTCTCTGCCTCCCAAGTGCTGGGATTAAAGGTGGGTGCCACCAACGCCCGGCGGCACAAAACATTTTTGCAAGTATACAAAAGGAATTGGGGACTGTGTGGGAGAAGAGGCACTGAATGGCTGGGAGATTAGTGTGGGCAGGAAGTTCTCACAGACATACATAATCTTCAACTGTGATCCTATTCAAAAGTATTTCATTTTAATCTAACTATTTTGTTTTTGTGAGATATAGTGAGATACAGGGCCTGGCTATAGGACAAGAACTCATCACACAGGCTCCTGTGGCCTTGAACTTGCAATGGGGCTTTTGCTTCTGCCTCCTGAGTGCTGCTGGATCACAGGCATAAGTCACCACAACTGGCTTACAATCTGGTGGGTTCCAGGTTGGGACCTTTGCCTGCAGACTGCTGAAGATGCACAGGATGCATCTACACGGCAGAACAAACTGCCTGCCTTGAAGCCAAGAAGCAACAAAGAACAGCTTGTATTTTGTTTGTTTTGTTTTTAGGTGTTTCGAGACAGGGTTTCTCTATATAACAGCCCTAGCTGTCCTAGAACTAGCTTCATAGACCAGGCTGGCCTCAAACTCACAGAGATCTGCCTGCCTCTGCTCCCTGCCTGCTGGGATTAAAAATGTCAACCACCATCACCCAGCTTCTTTTGTTTTTTTTGAGACAAGGTCTCATACAAGAACCATATACCTGGCCTTGGTTGTTTTAAATAGGATCAAGCCAGAAGACACATGCCTTTAATCCTAGCACTCTGCAATCAGAAGTAGGTGATCTATTTAGTGAGTTTGAGGCCAGCCAGGGTAACAAAGTGAGACGTTTTCTTCAAAACAAACAAAACCACAAAAAAACATAACAACACAAACAACCAAAGCTGGCCTGGGACTCAAGACCTCTGTCTCTGCTCCCCAGGTCCTGCAATTGCTGCATATGCTATCATGCCTGGCTTCAGAAACTACATTCTAGCAAATGAGCAGACCAGAGAGGGCTACAAAGACCCTCTGGTCTGTAGCCAGTGAGAGATGTGTATCTGAACTGGAGGGCAGTTGAGTGGACTGAGCCCTTAGTCTGGGGAATCTGTGGAATCCAAGTAGCTAGTATGAGAACTGAACTAGAGGGCACTCAGTGGCTGTTTGCTGAGGATTATGTGGCATGGGAAAACTCCACAGGACTGGTGTCAGAAACAATGCAGAATGTGCAAAAGATGGAAAAATTTCCCTCTACAGTAGCAAAGTAATTATTTACAGGATTAATTTGTCTCTTTAGAGAGAGGGGTTTTGTTTTTTAAATCTGGATGTGGTAGCTCATGTCTGTTAATTATAGCATTTGGGAAACTGAAACAGTATTGGTACAAGTTCAAAGACAGCCTGGGCTACACAGTGAGTTCTAGGTCAGCCTGGGCTACAGAATGAGACCCTGCTTCAAAAGAACAAAATGAGGATTTGTTCTTTTGAGACAGGATTTTGTTACATGGGTCTTGCTGACCTGGAATTCACTATGTAGAACAGGCCTCAAAATTAAAGCAATCCTCCTGCCTTTGCAGAGTGTTGAGAATATAGCCGTATGCTACCACACCTGCCTACAAAGTGCTTTTTTTTTTTTTTAATTAAAAAAAATATAGCTGGGTGTAGAGGTACGTATATACCTTTAATCTCAACACTTGAGAGGCAGAGGCAGGTGAATCTCTGAATTCAAGGACAGCCTGATCTACCTAGTAAGTCATAAATAATAAGTTTTATGCCAGGGCTACATATGGAAACCTTGTCTCAAAAAAACAAACTACACACACACACACACACACACACACACACACAATGTGTATATATACTGGGTGTATATATATAGTGTGTGTGCACGCATGCGCATGTATGTAGAGGTCAGAGAACAACATGCAGGAGTTGATTCTTCTGTCATGTATTTCCTGGGGACTGAACTGGGGAAGGGAGAAGACTTAGAGAAATGCTAGAAAGGTCAAGGCCCCCTAACTGCCAGGAGGCTTGCACACACTCAACTGACCTATAGGGTTCCTACAAGGCCCCACCCAAAGGTCCACAGCACCTCTCAGCAGTGTCAACCTCAGGTCTCTTGGAGAGTACTACCTATATTCAAACCAGAGCAATCACTCCAAAGAAAGTCTCACCCAGCAGAAGAGTCAGACAAAGGGGCCCATATCACAGAGAAGCAGCCAGTTTCTTGCATATGGTCTTTAAATGTTTGACAGAATGTTCAGAGGAAATAAAGTGCCCAATACTATTGTGAACACTCTCTTCCCGTTGTACAGGAGCCATGATGTTCCTTTCCTTCTGCCCTGCAGAGCACCAAGTGAGTACCCCTTTCTGTGTCTGACCATGCCTCTGACCTGTAGACTCTCATGGCTTCACAAGAGGAAACAGGAATTGCTAAGGCAGGTCCAGCCACCAAGAGAATGTAAGTGCCAACCTGAGAAACCAAGAGCTGGTTGGTCTGTGATTCTGGCTCAATTTTGTGGCAACTTAGAAAGAAGAAAGCCCTGGGGCTGGAGAAATGGCTCAGTGGCTAAGAGCACTTACTGCTCACACAGAGGACCCAGGTTCAAGTTCCCAGCACACATATCAGGTGGTTTCTAACTTCCTGTAACTCCAGTCCCAGAAGATCTAACTCTCTAGCCTCCAAGGGCAGTTCACATGTACATGGTGTACATAAGACTCACACAGGCACATCCATCCATCCATCAATGAATTAGAGAAGAGGGCTATGGAGCTAGCTCAGTGGGGAAGAGAACTTGCTTTGGAAGTAAGAGGACCTAAGTTCAAATCCTCAGCACCTATGTAAAAACCATCCTTCCCAGGGCCAGTATACCAGCATACATACACCATACACCACACCCACCCACAACCACACACACCCCACAGACGGTACACACCACACCACACACACACACCATAAACACACCACACAAATACACTAAGGAGGAGGAAACCTCTAAGCTTAAACAGTCACTCCTCTTAAGTGCTGGGCCCAGAAAAGAATCTTCCTGGGCTGGAGAGATGGCTCAGCGGTTAAGAGCACTGGTTGTTCTGCCAGAGGACCCAGGTTCAATTCCCAGCACCCACATGGCAGTTCTCAACTGTCTATAACTCCAATTCCAGAAAATCTGACACTCTCACAGAAGTACACACAGGCAAAACAGCAATGTATATAAAAATAAATCTTAAAAAACAAAGAAAGAAAAAAGAATCTTCCTGCCCTCACGTGGGGTAGGTCCACTCCAGGGGAACTGCTATTTCAAAGTCACATGCATCCCAAGCATGCACTTATTCATACCCGGTCAATGTGTGTGACATTCCGGATCCCAAAAGCAATGGTGTAAACATCAAATTGGTCATCATCAAAGGGCAGCTCTTCAGCATCTCCCAGTACCCAGGCAAGTCCTGGAAGGCAAAACCAGTTTTGGGTATAAGTTTAGGAAACCGTTTCCCATGCACCAGAGGAGCAGTGAAAATCCAGAATCTGTGGTAAGCCAGATGAGAGTGTGAGTGCCCTAGCATGGATGTGTGTGGCTTGTGGGGTAGTGATGGTCCAGTGGCACACAGCCCACGGAGCAAAGTCTGGGTAATGTCAGAAGTGAAATGAGAGAATTCCAGAACTGTCTGCTTGTTGTGGAATATTACTTTAACTATGTAAATGTGTGTTACATTTTTTTTTATGCTGCCTTTGTTTAATGATGTAAAGATGTGTTGCCTTGCCTGCCTAAGGCATCTGATTGGTCTAATAAAAAGCTGAATGGCCAATAGCTAGGCAGTAGAGCAATAAGACAGGGCTGGCGGGCAGAGAGAATAAGTAGGAGGGAGAAGAGAAGAGAAAGAATGAGGGAGAAAGAGAGGGAATGCCCACGACCAGCCAGCCAGCCAGGCAGCTGCCAGACAGACAGACATGGAGTAGGACATATAGAATGAAAGATAAAAAGCCCTGGGGCAAAATGTAGATGGAGAGAAACAGGTTAAGTTATGAGAGACAGGTTTCTCTGTGTAGCCCTGGCTTTCCTGGAACTTACTCTATAGACCAGGCTGGCCTTGAACTCAGAGACCTGCCCACCTCTGCCTCCCCAGTGCTCTGATTACAAGAGTGCACCACCACACTCAGATCGGAAACCTTTTCAGAGTTTATGTCTAACTGACTACATGTGGAATCATGTTCACAAAGGACAGATTCCAACCACTTAGCTCACATGGTTTCTTTGTTTGTTTTTGTGTGTATATGTGTATCTAAGTGTGCCACATATGTACAAGCGCCCACAGAGGTCAGAAGAAGGTGCTGGAGTCCCTTGGAGTTTTAGGCAGCTGTAAGCTGCCATTTGGATGCTGGGAACCCACTGCAAGAGCAGTATGCTCTCAGTCACCGAGCCATCTCGCCAGCCCCTCACTTAAACACTGTAAGTGGCTTTATTTTTCATTGTGTAATCAGGCAGATAGAGGTAGGACTGGGTAAGGTGACATCTTGTCTCAAACAACAACAAATTCCTAAGCAGTTTCACAGCTACACTATGGAGGAGACAGGTCCAGAAATGGAACATTACCTATCATTTCACTGTTTGTTCTCCATTTTTTCTGGCAGAGCACCAGAGATGGGAAATATATTGGCCAGTAGGAGTAAGACACATAGTGCCTTTGTTTAGAGACAGCTAACAAAAGAGTCCTTCGTCATGAAGGCCAAGTGGGCTGTAGTCCATCCAGGCAGCTCCTTCTTGGTGTGTGAGGAGGAGGATGAGAATAATTGGCCTAAAATAACCAGACTCTCATAGTGGGAGGGGGAGCAGGAATGCTGACTTGCTCAGAGGGTTGACTTTCTTTTGCGATTTGCCCTTGTCTCTCTGGCTGCCTGCACTGCCTTGACGGCATGGAGCAGGGCAGTGCAGCTGTCCCAGAAAGCTGTCACGAGGGCGCAGTATTCAGAGTCATCAGTGAACCTGCAAACATTAAGGGCAAGCTTGTGCTGTTGCTGTGAGATGGTTTCACTGTGTAGGCTGGATCAGCTGCAGACTCACCGTGTAGATTTCTCACAGAGAGTTCCTGGTTTTGCCTTCCAAGTTCTGGGGTTAAAAGTATGTACCACCATGCTTGGCTAGGCAAGCATTCTGAAATAGTCAACAGTCAGGTGTAAACACAGCAATAGCTCAGCCAGCATGCGCAAGAACCTGGTTCAATCTCCTGTACTGAGGGGGGAGGGGGGAATTGTGTGACTTACGAAGCTCCTGCTGTGAGGGGGAGGGATCTAGAAGAATGAGAAGGGTAGAAGAGGAAGGATGCAGAGAACATGAGGGAGCAGAAAGGTTGAGTCAGGGAAAGAATAGAAGATAACAAGAATGGAGATACCATAATAGAAGGAGACATTTTAGATTTACAGAGAAATCAGGCACTAGGGAAATGTCTGGAGATCTACAAAGATGACACCAGCTAACAATCTAAGCAACAGAGGAGAGGCTACTTTAAATGCCCTCCCCTGATAATGAGATTGATAACTAACTTATATGCCATCCTATAGCTTTCATCCAGTAGCTGGTGGAAGTAGAAGCAGACACCCGCAACTTATCACTGAACTGAACTGGAATCCAGATGCAGAGAAGGACGAGTGAAGAGCAAAGGGGTCCAGACCAGGCTGGTGAAACTCACAGAAACAGCTGACCTGAACATCGGGGAACTCTTGCTCCCCAGACTGATAGCTAGGATATTATTATCGGACTGATCCAAACCCCAGGAACATGGATTTCAGTGAGGAAACCTCGGAAATCTACGTGACCTGCTCTAGTAGTTCAGTACTTACCCTAGCATAGGTGTGGACCTTGGGAGCCCATTCCACATAGAGGAATACTCCCTGAGCCAAGACACACAGGGGGGGGGGGGGGCTAGGCCCTATCCCAAAGGA